GGGAATTCTGGATAACAAGCATTGGGAAAAATTGCGACAATGTACCCGTGATTCGGAAAAAGCTCTCCCCAACCGGGGATAAATCCTGGTTTTCGCATAATCCAACAGGCCATTAGTACTAAGAACCAAGCGAGGATCGATTTTTCACCAAACCTGAACAAGGAGATAAATGCTCAACCTTTGATTTTGACAAAGAAATCAATCATAGTATCTTCATCACACCACTTTTAGCAGATTAGAATTATTGAAAAAATGTTTGATTTTCGTTAATGCTGATTTTTTTTTTGCGAAATCGAAAATCATTGAGACTTCTCCTTGGCTTACGGGAGACCTCTTCGAATTTGCGAGATATGTATTTCTATTTTATTGTTAAAACATTTATGATCAGATTTACTGTTACATAGAAAAAAGTTTCAAATAGCTCGAAAATAATTCTTCATCTTGAAGTTTTATCCATATTTTCGCTACATTATTGTATCTTCTGAAATGTCTTGCTGTGCATTACAATAAAGCTTCAACTTTTGAACATTTCAGAGTCACGAGAGAGGCTCTACATTTTACCATATACTCATATCGTCATATGTAAGGTAATGCATGTACGATGCATTTGACACAAACTAACCCCTCCCCTTTCCCTCTTAGCAAATGAATGATAGCACATTTTCTGTTGAAGTTCATTTCTCCTTTTAGAACTGCAGTCACAGCTACACTTTTGAGCTAAGAAACTTACTGAAAGCATTTGTATTTCGAGAGGATCATGTATATTCACATTTTACTTAACTTCCTTCCTTTTATATTTGCTTCGCTATTTAATCAAAATTCTGAATCTGTCTTTCTAATTTTGCCGTTTCGTCTTTATCTTAGAGATGTATATTCCTTTCAATGGTTGGTTGATTGTGATTCGAATAGATGCAGAAACCGCGTTCAGAAGGCTTCGTTGCAACCATTTGTAGTGTTGGTTTCTTGCTCTCAAAAATTTTCTCGATAAATCAATTATTATTGAAAAATTTTAAAATTTGGAAACTGCAGTCCAGTTATATGGCTGCCTAAGCCTAATCTACAAGGATAATTAGAGTAGACCTTTCTAGAAGGTTTGAATATTCTCAAATCAGATAATTTCGAGATGATCCTACGTGAATATTCCAAGCTCATCATAGGCAGTGTGAATCCTCTTCTGAACTGCTAGCGAGACGCGCTGCTCTTCTTTTGAGGGGCGAGAGAACCATAAGCAAAGCTGTCGTGGGCCCATAAAACAACACTAGAGATAGAGAACTAGCAATTTATTGAGCACATTTGCGCCTATTTATCAGTTTTACCGTTAGAACAATGAATGATGCGACAAGGTACAGCAACATAGGAGGCATTGCAAACATCATCCATTGTACGTAAGATACACTAACTTCATTTTCGGCGTAACTTCTGAAATGGAAATAGAGTGTTTAGGTCATCTGAAATACTTCAAACCAACGTTTGAACGATTTCACGAAAGACTAGATTTGGACCAGTAGATGTTATTATTGCCGTTCCACCAATAAGAGATCCATGAGCACATGCGAGTACCAGAGCCTAGAAAACTCACGATTTTAGCATGACATTAATCTTTTGCAGCTACAGGTATCCCACCTTAGCAAATCCCCGCTCATCTCCTTTCAAGTGTTCAAAAGCTGCACCCTCAATCGTTGCACCATCTTTCCTAAAAATGGTGATAATTAGAAATAGAGATCTGACATGTAATGATGATGTGATGTAATCTGACAAAAGTAGTATTGAGCCTTATTCACCCTTTGCCGTGTCCAACTGATTCCGTGGTGTCGGTGATAGTCTGTATTATAGCCAATGCTATTGGAATCATTAGAGCAGTGCAAGCAGTGTCAGAAACAAAGAAGGATCTGCAAGAGTTTTCAGCAGAATGACGGAGAATAAAGTAGTGTAATAAGCTGCACAAGTTTTCGTTGCTATACATAAATTTAAATATTCTTTTTGAATTTGAATTTACGACGGCATTGCAAAGCAAGGCGTTAACCCGAATCTATGGAAAAATGAGAAAATGGAAAAATGCGCACGCCAAGTATTGGGTTGTCGAATAAGCTCGCGCCGTTTCTTTCAAAATCAAAAATGTTCCATTTAAGAGTAGAAGTCTTCCTGCACAAGTTGTGGGCCTCTTTTGTACTAAAATTTTGGGCTAAAGGGCCACAAAACTCGAAGGAGATCCATTTGTACCAGATTGTGAGATTGCCGACTTCACAATAATAGTAAGCTATAATGGTTACGAAAATCATTTATGAACCTTACTGTCATAGGTTCGATACTCCGACAAGAGAACAAAAGTGATAGTGATTTTAACTATGGACCTTTGCAAAAGGTGATGGTGATTTTTGATATGTTATGGTAGCTGAAGAGGAAGAAATGTTCTTGTAGTCAATGAAAAATGTTGCAAAATGACATGAAATTCCTTTAAACATTCTCCAATCATTTTCTTCGCCCACTTCCTACATATATTCCCAGAAAATTGTGGATTTAGAGTCGTCTTTTTTACGTAAAAGTGAAATTGTGAACAATATTGACCTGATTAGACGTGTTTTAACGCGTCTGACACTCTCACATCCT